ATAGCTCTAGTTTATTTATCGAGGATGTTAAGTGCAACTATTGTACAGATAGTGACAAGATACTTTTTTTTTTATTGATTTTGATGGCATTGGTGTAAATTTTGAGGAATTTTGTGTTTCTTCTTGTCTTAGTCTTAGTGGGAATCCTTATTTTTGAATGGTTTGGGATGATTGTGTACCAGTTTTCAAACAGACAGAATGGATGAATCTGAAGTTTGTGTATCAGGGCTGGATGGTAATTGGATTGTATGAAAATAGACCATCCTTTACATATCCCTTAAAAGGTGCTTGGGATATTATGCATGTGGATGGATTTTTTTCTCTGGTCATGGATGTTTGATTTTCTGTATCCAGTCAAATTGGTTTAGTTAGTTCTAGTTTAGTGTATTGGAAGCTTTTCCTTCATTAGTGTTTACTGTTAGTCAATGGATGTTACCATGTCCGAGAGATGATTCAGCTTATTTCAAGTTGAACAAAGATTTTAGGTTTGTCTGGCATCATATTGAGATACAAATCCGAACTCCCTTTTTCCCTGTGTGGCAACTGTGGCCTTTTACATATCTGTGTGGTTAAGAGTGTGTTCTTTTGTTCCGTTTTTTTCTTCTTTTTTCTATTGGTTTTCAGAGGTTAGTGATATAGAAACATAATATCATTCTTAGCACTACTATCACAAACCCTTTTTGTGAACTGTGTTGGGCTTCTTATTATTTAAATTGTCTATCTCATATTTTATTTATACTATTTCTTTTCTTTTTAAAAAAATATAATGTCTTTTTATGTTGTAAATTGATGAGTGCATAGGCCTATGGTTCAGGCTTTTTGGTTCCTTGATTGTCTTTGTGCACACGGTTAAATTGTTTAGTGTTGGTGATCTAAAGAATAGAGGCCTATTTCTTGGATGCTTTTGGGGGTTCTAAATAAATCTGCTCAATGTAATGTTCTAATTTATGCACTCTGTCCGTGCTATACGCCTTTGCAAGAGAACATGAATGCTCATGGGTTTCACCGTGGATGTAAATAATTACTCAAAGAGGATCTAGATATTTATGGGAATTTCGTAATATCATTTATTATCATTGTTATGCAGTATTTGGGATTTTAATATGCGAATTTGTGCTAAAGTTTGTGCCCAGGAATTCATATTTTTAGTTGTATGCATTTCCACCTTTTCTGCTCGAGGGTCTACTGTTCAAGTTGAAAATTTTGTTGAGACATGTCAGATACTCCTGCAAAATTTGTTTTGGGAAGTTGGCTCCATGGATGTCTGTAGGATGTGGTGCACGCTTGTGTTTAGTGGATGTTCTTCATTACATTACTTTCCAGCCAAAAGTACAGGAGCTTTTGTGCTCTCAAACTTTTAGTTTTTATGTCTATTAAGCTTTAGGTTTGTTTGCTTCTATGTCCAAGAAACAGTTGTATGGCTGTTTTTTTTGTTCGTTGATTGGGAATGGTTAGCTGTGATTGCTAATAATTCTAACCTTTTTCTTGAGATGTTGGATGTTTTATTTTCATAAAAAATGTCGGATGTTATTTAGTGATGAATGTTTAAAGTATTTGTGGATAAATGTTTAAAATATATTTTCTATTCCCCTAGAGAAAAATTTGGAAACTCAAATTTTGATCTGAACCTGTATTATTTTCCATTCAGACTTTGGAGTTCTTTGATCTTGGTCAGGGATCAGGATTTGGAGCAACTAGATGCATGTAGGTCTGAAAATAGCAAGTTGCAGGAAGACTTAAATAGCGGTCAATTATTTGTGGTTATAAGGTTCTCCATTATTGTGCTTCGATGAATTTATAAGATTTTACAGTTCTTTTATCAGTTTGAGTTAACAGTGGATCCAGTGTGCTTGGTAGACGGGACTCAGATTGTCTGTTCTGTACAGTTTCAATTGTTCCACTATCAGGTGTGAGTTTCAAATTCCAGAGGGGCAAAAATATAACC